TTTTGTCAAGAAGACCAGAGGAATGTGTTCATTGGTCACCAGGATCTGAGTCCAATCCTCAGGAGAATTTTAGTGGAATTGACTACAACACCCTGAAAGTTAGAATTACAACTAGGTGACAAACAGAGCAGAGCACAAGGAATGGAGAAATCATGGACAATATCAGTAGAAATGGGAGTAGCCCTTGATTTCAAGTTTTAGCCAATGGCATTTATGTATGTCTGCATGGGTGTGACTCATTTTCTTGTTTCATTTACTGTTATTATAACAGTAAAGATTATGTTTTGATCTAGATCAAGAGATTTTTTTTCAAAAGATGTTTCTTTTGATCTAGAATATACTTTTTTATGACATATATGTATAGTACAGTCCTATTCATATTTATCTCAGAGTAAGTTGCTTTGAAAATTCTGGGATTGTTTCCATATAAATAAGCATACAATTGGGGTTATCTGTAATTTTGAGTGCTCTTATGTTTTTGATGGCAAGATAACAACAATGGTTCCTTAACAGAGCTTACTTGTTTTGTAATTTCCCCCTTCCTTTTGGAAAGTTTCTTAATTTTCAGATCACAACTAAATAAAGAAACATATAGTATAATAAATTTGACATTTGAGTCTTTTTAAGAAGCAGAAAACTAAATAGGTAATTAATTTAATGTACAGCTATATGACTCTTCAGAGGAAATGGAAACCCTGTCTATTACATTCTTGAATTTGGTTGTTCAGCAAAATAATTTAATCAAACTACTGGGATCCAGGTTGAAGTAGGTGTTGTAGATTCTTAAAGTGCTACTGAAATGCAAAATAATGCAAACTAAATTTTGTTGAATACAATTTAGAGGCTGCCTGTCTCCAGGTGGCTTATATCTTTGTTGTCAGTGTCATATCTCTGCACTTTCATATTTATCTAGATGTGTGTCAGTCTTTCTCACAAGTGGTAGACAGCAATATACAGTATATCATGGCTATAGGAAGATAGGAAAATAAATCCTATTATTACTGAACGTATTTATTTTATTTATATTTTTATACATTCGATTTATTCTCTGCCCAGTGGGGAACTCTGGGCGGCTCAGAAAGTATATATAAACCTAACAGTGACAAATCTTACAATTAGTGCTATATCTATTATACTATGTGACCAGCAGGGGTCGCTAGGGGGTCATCCGGGCTTTTTTCCTTCTCTGTAGATCTTTCTCGCCACTCGCATCGATAGTCACTCCTGCTGGTTGCATTCGGAGTTCAGCCAGCACCAGTATTTTGCTCCCCCGCGCAGCACTGCCAGTTCCTCCCATCTAAACAGGAGTCCCCATTTATCTACTCGCAGATGGAATAGCTTTCGAACTGCTGGATGGGCAGGAGCTAGGACAAGGGACAGGAGCTCACCCCATCCTGCAGAGCCAGGCCTGAACCGCTGGAGTGCCGACCATTTCTGACCGGCAAACTCCAGCATCATTAAGCCCTGTGCCACCGCACCCCATTTATTGAGGTGCGGTGGCACATAACTTATGTGCCTATTTGCATTGGGTTCAGATTGTCTGTGGACATGATCTTAGTTTTTTAAAAGAATTGAACAGCAGGCTGCTTTTGCACATTCTTCTTTCAATTTCAACAATAAATTCCTTAGAATTTAGGAATTTCTCTGCTCCCAGTCATTAAAATGCTATCGTCAGCATATCTGAGAGTGTTGATGTTTCTCCCAGCAAATTTAATTCTAAATTATTTCTTTTAATACAGCATTTTTCATGATACATTCTGCATATAAGTTAAATAAGTAAGGTGTCAGTATAGAAACATGGCATATTCCTTTCCCAAATTTGGGTCTTTGCAAGTTGCTCTTAACTTTTCTCTTGCATAGCATTCTTGGTAGTTCCTGCTGCTACCACCTATCAAAGGGGTGCCTCACTGGTCCACTCCCTAATCCTGGTGGTTAGATGAGTCTACGCTATCTTTCTGAGTTATCTTTCTTATGATTAAAAGATTAAGACAAAAAAGTTGAAATAATTTCTAAAATGCTGTCTCCCAATGACTGGAGTTGGAGAAGACTCCTGAGAATACTGCGGATAGCGAAGAAAACAAAGAAATGGATCATTGAACAAATCAACCCAGATTTCTCACTCAAGGCACAAATGGCCAGGCTCAAATTATCCTACTCTGGACACATTATGTGAAGACCTAGCTCTCTGAAGAAGGATCTTATGCTGGGAAGGGTGGAAGGAAAGAGGAGAGAATGACCAGCAGCAAGGTGGACTGACTCAGTTACAGTGGTGATGAGTGCACCATTGGGAGACTTGAAGGACCAGGCTAGGGACAGATCATCATGGAGAAAATCTATCCACATGGTTGTTAAGAGTTGACACTCTCTTTATGGCACATAATCGTAATTAATCTCCTGACCATACAGCATAGGTGCATGATAACTAGGGAATTCAGCCTTCCTTCATCTTCTTGGGACATGGATCAAACAAAATCATTATTGAAAAAAAAAATTAGATAGTTTAATAATGTTTAAGATGCAGACAAATTATTCAAAAGAGAAAATTAAAGAGCTGCCCAGATCATGGTAATACAACAGCTTTCAGATTACCTAAAGAAAGGAAAATGCAAAATAAAATACAATGTTTCAGGAAGACCACAATGTAGCACTGGTCTACTAGAAATAAAAGAATTCTGGCCCAGATCTCTGACAGTTGAAAATTAAAGATCATAAGGATATTCTAAAGAACAAAACTGTATCTTCTTCAACAATGGGTTTCTCAGAGCCTGAGAAAGCCAATGGTGGTTTCAAAAATCATATTAGTGTACCATGTCTACACATTCTTCATTTATCAGAACTGATAGCTGTCTTCCCAGTTCACTAATGGATAGACAGCATGAGAATCAAGAATCTCCACCCTCATGAACTTGAAGATAAACATCCCCAGTTACCAAATTTGCTGTAACTATTCCTTTTTCTCTTTCAATAAATCTGGTTAAAGAAGATACTGGGAGAATCCTTCTTTTTGGTTATAAGTAGCTTCAAAGAGCTTGACACATAGTCTGAAATATGATTGTAGGCTGATATTAAATACCCAGTTCCTTCTATTATTATTATTATTATTATTATTATTATTATTATTATTATTATTATTATTTTATCTGCACTCTGTTGGGGCCGATTCTGCAGCAACTG